AAAAAAAAAAAAAAAAATCACTCATGTTCTTTAATATCATCCTCCCTCTCCTAAAAGGAGAGGGAGTTGAGTTCTAGATGTTCTGACTTTTATTATGTCAAACGTTCTTTTCATAGAGGGTGAGAGATATATTTAGATTTATTTTTCCTTTCCTGAAAGCTTCCCTAAGTATGATTTGTCTAACTTCATAGAAAAGAGCTATATAAAACTGTGTGCTTAAAAGAAACTTAAAACTTAAAACAAGGAGACCAGAGACTGAGCTGTTTATGAGTTGTGTCCTTGGGCAAGTCACTTGACTCAGCTTGTCAGTCTTCTGCTGCAGAAGGGGGACATCAGCATTCCTACCTCACAGGATTGTTGTAAAAAGAAATCCTATGGATGTGAACATGTTTTGTATACACCAAAGTGTTATATGACCAGTTCTTTTTATTATATACTTTATAATTTATTAAATAATTTCCATACAAAGCAATTGCATGGGAATGGAAGTCTGTAACCTCGCTTTAGTAATTCATGTTCTTTTGTTTATTGGCAGAGAATTCTGGAGATTATTTTCCCCGAAACTTTCTCTGTGCATTGTTGAAATTGACTCTACTACATTAATCTCGTAGATCTAAAATCACCTTCCTGCACACGACAGAATATTTTTGTATTATGTCAAAAATCTGTCCCTGCAGATTCGCAAAAGACCCATTTTACTGCTAAGACAGAGGAAGTTTTTGCACTGTTTTATGTAATTACTGTTTATATAAGGGAAATCTATGATCATTTCCAGAGGTATCAATTAACTTAAGTGTTTTACCCAAAAGAGCAAACAACAACAATAAGTATATATTAGTAGCCAAATTAACTCTAATGTAAGTTTTTTTTGGACAACTGCAATATAGTAGTTGGGGTGAAAGATCTATCATCATAAATTAAATGCTAGATTTACACTTTTTTACACTGAAATGTTTACTTAGCACTTTATATGTATGAAGCACAGTTTAGGGACTATTTAAAACTGGGACCAGATCACTGTAATGGACTTATAGCTTGAAGTTGACTAAGGTATAAAGTTTTCAGGTTGTGCTTATGCCACAGCTACAGAATGATCACTAGTTAATATCTATAGGAATTAGTAATGGAATGATAGGGGTCTCCAGAGGTTAACTAATCTACCCATCTGTCTCTTAGCTGGACCAATACCTAACCCATCCCACATGACTGTGCATTTTTGTATCATTAAAGTGCTCTCACAGAGAAAATGATTTCCCAGCCTTTCCCAGTCGTTACTCTGACTGATGCTATCAGCACTTTCTCTGACTTACACTCTGTGTTTAATGGAACAACTGAGCAGTTTTATACATAAACCTCTCTTTATCAAATTTATGTAAGAATTAGAAGTGCCATATGTATATAGTTAGTAGCTAGCTATTAAGAGGGAATTATGTTTCCTAATAGAGGTATGTATGTCTAAGATGCTCAGTCCTTTGAAGTTTAGGGTAGACATGTGTCAGCTCTGGTGGGTGATGCTGCAGTTTTTACTACTTTAATTGCATTTAATTAGTAGCTATTGATTTTTGCCTTAGATTTGAGTACTTCCTATTATTTGCTTTATTTATTAATAATTTTTAAAAAGAAATTTACTGACTTGAAACCTGTAAGATCAACCCATATTTTTTTTTCTCCTCAGTTACTTGGACATAGGAGAAATCAAGAAAAGACCAATGGAAGTTGTTAATACAGAGGTAATGCAAACACTATTTTGAAGGTTCAAATGAATGATGGTACCATTTGTTTTGGTTATTTTTTCTTATGGTGTGTCTTAGAGATTTGGACAGCATTCTACTCATAATAGATAAATTCTCAAATATATATAAATGGGGTATTATGTGTTTTAAGACAAAGATAATTCTTTCTTTGGATCATCGTCAGAAATGAAGAGACTGAGTAGGTGTCCTAAAACATGTAGGATTAGGCACATGTTCTTATTTTCCCATTTTCTAGCTACCTGTTATCTGGTTGAAAACCATGGGAATATTTCCTGCCAAGTGAGAAGATTCTGAGCAATATTATTTAACTCTGTTTTTTTTTTTTCTTTAAGTCAGAGTCTCACTCTGTTGCTCAGGCTGGAATGCAGTGGCAAGATCACAGCTCATCACAGCCTCAACTTCCTGGGCCCTGGTGATCCTTTTGCCTCAGCTTCTCAAGTAGCTGGGTCTACTGGGGTGGGCCACCATGCCTGCCTAATTTTTTAATTTTATTTTTGGAAAGACAGGGTCTCACTATGTTGCCTAGTCTGGTCTCAAACTCCTGGGCTCAAGCAATCCTCTCGCCTTAGCTTCCCAAGTGCTGGGATTACAGGCGTGAGTCATGGTGTCCAGTCTAAATCTTTACCTACTACAGCCTTTGTCTTATTTTGTTTCTGACAGCTCATTATTTAAAATAGCCCAGGTCTCTCTGACTGCCCTTCAGGCTTTCAAAAGAGAAGAATAGATGCCATATTGAATGCTGTGTGACGTCAGGAAAACACCTCCATGTTGACTTGTATCAAAGTACAAGTTGAGTACAGTTAGCAAACACTTGTATAGAGATTGGAAAAGGGTCTTATGAAATAGATATTTGAAACACCACATTCCACATAGTTTCTGAAACCCTAGTGGAATTTTCAGGTGTTCTATTAGTAGGTGTTCTTTAGTTTATGGATTAAAAAATAGTTTAAAAAAAAAACATTTGCGGAAACAGACTTAAATGTCCCAGTGAGACAGGGAAAATTGTAGTTAGACCTGGACTGGGCCTCTGTTCACCAGCCCAGACTGCCACTCTTCCCATTTGAACCCCACATAAACATGTGTGTCAGACTGACCATGAAAGCTATAGACTTTATAGCTTAAAGTGGACAAAGGTATACATTTTTTAGGTTATATGTATGGTATAGCTGAAGAATGACCACCAGGTGATAGATGTAGCAAAATGTAATGAAGGACAGATCAGTGAATGCATTCTGGATAAGATTTTGTTTGAAGGATATACACACCTGTTTGAAGCGGACAATCTTGCATAACACTGGTGACAAAACCTGGATTTCTGCAGTAGAATTTGAGATGTGTAAAATCCTAAAAAATGTGAGCCCAATATATTTACTGTAGATTCTAGTGTCTTTGATGAATCTACAGTAAAATGCAACAGGTGTGCAATAAATATATTGAATATACTTTCTTTTTTCCTTAAAAGAGTATCCTTTGTAACAGAATCATTCACAAGGACTCTAGTTCATTTAATTTGCTAACTTTTCTTTTCCTTTGGGGATAGTAACTATTGTTTTCCCTGTACTTTGGGCTTATGCATGAGTCATACACACAAGGCTCTGATTTACGAAAGCACATGTGAAAATCTCACTTGTGAAAAACCTACCTCTTATTTCCAAATAAAAGACACCTGTTTCTCAAGGGAAACTCTCTCACCCTTCCTCCTTTCCTCTTACTACCCTGCTGCGGCCTTTCACTTATTCTCAGCCCTTCTCCCAAAGACTTCCAAAGGGGATGAAAAGAGAGAAATAGAAGAAATTTTGGAATGCAAAGAAGTTGGGAAGAGGCAGGGAAAAACTTGTTGTCCGTGCTCTTCCGTGAGTCCCCCACCCACTCACACCCCACTTTCTCACTTGCTCCCTAGAGTTCTCTCGCTCACAGTGTCCTCCCGGCCTTTCCTCCAAGTCTGGATAAGCAGTGTGCTCATGTCACATGCCCAGTCTGGAGAAACCCTCCTCCCCAAAGTCCTCACCATGGCCTTCACCCCTGCCCTGAGAACCTATCTATTGTGTGTTTACTTTTTACTATAGGGAAATCTCTCTGTTTTCCACAAATTTATAATTAAACTTTTGGAATTTAATAAGTTTATAAGTTGGAGGACTATCTATGCTTGAAATTTGAGAACAGACTTGGTGGACACTAGCCTTCCACAAAATTATAGATTCGATTTCTTTTTTTATCTCAGGTGGGGATTTCAACATTAGTGTCCACTGAGAAAAGTTGCTCCCCTTGTTAAGTAATACTGGTATTCTTTGGAGTTGGATAACATATAAGGCAGGGCATCAGAGAATTATTACTGTTGTTATTATTAAAGTCAGAGTCCCACTCTGTAGCCTAGGCTGGAGTGTAGTGGTATGAGCATAGTTCACTGCAACCTTGACCTCTTGGGCTCAGGCAATCCTTCTGTTTCAGCCCCCCAAAGAGCTAGGACTAGAGGTGCATGCCACCATGCCCGGCTAATTTTTTGATTTTTTTTGTAGAGACAGGGTCTCTCTATGTTGCCCAGGCTGGTTTTGAACTCCTGGGCTCAAGCAATCCTCTTGCCTCGGCCTCCTAAAGTGCTGGGATTACAGGCATGAGCCACTGCACCCCACCATATACCTATTTTTGAAGTGGATTTGAAACATGATACACCAAATTAATGGTTTAGAGTTGTTTCAAGTGGAAGTTTCAGTACAGTAGTAGTATAAAAATAAGTATTCAAAGATATGTCATTATGAGGGTTGAATAAAATTACTTGTTCACCAAAACTGGGGGCATTTCTCTCAAATCTGAGGTAATTTCGGACAGTTTGTGTTTATAGTGATGGGCCTGCATACAAAAAGCCACTACATCTGTATACATCATTCAATTTTTTAAGTAGCTTAAAGCATATTCTAATTGTTTCCAGTGCATATGGCTGTGGAAAGACCTTTGCATTCTGACAAGGTCATGTAGAATGTGTAACTTTGGGTCCTAGCCACTGTGGCTGGGACACCCCACTAGTGAGTACTGGGAGTTAGCATTCTTGCCCTTCTCCTGGAACACCCACCAAAGTCCATGGTACGATCTGGTTTCTCTTTACAAAACTAATAATTTCGATAGATGTAGATAGATGGTACCTGTTTACTGATTGCAGGTCATAGTAACAAGAATGTGTGTGTCACCTCAGCATCTGAAGTTCTTTTGTGGTTCTTGTCATTTCTTTCCTGTTGCATGAGGCTCATCTTTGAAGGACAGTTGCTCAATTCCTCCTTCTCTTTGTGGACCTATTATGGGGACAGGGAAAGGCAGAGCTTTAATGGATCTCTTCTACTAACATGAAAGAAGCACAGAGTCCTATTTGGTGAATGTTCTGGATGGCAGAAGGAAATTGGGGTGAGCACTTGTGGGGGTATAAGGAGGAAGAAAAAAAGAGAGGAATACGGCAACCTCAAAGCTGGGGCACTGTGTGGGCTCAGAGCAGTCTGCCCTTGTCTTTCTCCACATATTTATCTATTATCTAGATAGTGGCTTTTATGAAAACAGTTTTCTTAATTTCTGACCTTGGTAGCTCATCTTTTTATTTATGACTTCCCAGTCCTCTCTTTGCTACCTCCTCTCAGCCCAGTTTCATGTCTCATTCTATTTTTTTTTATAACCTTTCAAGGCAGAATTAATGACAATCCTAAATAGTTATTTAGAGTGCATGTGTGATACCAGCCCTCACTGTGGCTCTTACCTTTTTGCTCTACTGAATGTAACGTCTACTTCCTTTCTTGTTTTCCTCTTCCCATTCCTTCCTGCTTGCTTTCTTTCTTTCTTTCTTTCTTTCTTTCTTTCTTTCTTTCTTTCTTTCTTTCTTTCTTTCTTTCTTTCTTTCTTTCTTTCCTTTACTTCATGGGACTTGAATGCCTATGCTGTGTCATGGAGTGGATAGGGTGAGCAAGAATGAATAAGACATGCATGACCTCTCAGTTCCAGGAATTTATAATCTTGCTGAAAAGACAGGTAGATGAACACCTCTAGTACCACATAATAAGTGATTCAATTTAGAAGCTACAGTTTGCATTTAGGTGTTTAGTTCAAGTGCTTCTGGCTTTATGATGCTACAGCAAAGTCATTTGTGGCCCCTGTGAATGGACACTTCCTTCTTTGACCTAGAGTCGTAGACCTCACTGTTCATTCCATGCCCCATGTCTCATTTGTGCAGTGAGTCCTCCAAATAATGACAATCTTTTTTTTTTTTTTAATAACCATTCAAGGCAGAATTAATGACAATCCTAAATAATTATTTAAAGTGCATTATATACAGAGAGGAAGAGCATGCAACTTAACTTCAGGGTATTTCTGATGTGCTGGGGATTGTGCTAGATACTAGGCATAAAATGGATACTTCACTGCTCTTGCTCTGGCTCTTCAGGAGTTGAGAGTTTAGGTGAGGAGACAGAGAAGTAAACTGGCTGTGATTATCCAGTGGCAGGTGTGCTGAGCTAGAGACATGCTTAGAGGGTGGAGGAAATACAGATTGGATCAGTGTTGTGGGAAATGCCAGTTGGAAATGGTTTCAAATATGATCGCATCTTTTATTTTTTAGCCTGTTTCTCTTATATTAAAGTTTTGAGAATATGTCCTTCTGCAACTTGACTAAGAGGGCGTTGCTTGATACTTATATCTGTGAAGGAGTCAAAACCTATCTTTGGCAGGCAGAAAGAGTGAGAATCAGCTTGGCTGGAAAAGAGAAAAAGGCAGCCTTGCTGTCAGTTAGACTTAGAGGATAGACACATATGAAAATAGCTGCAACCAGGCACGCTGGCTCATGCCTGTAATTCCAGCACTTTAGGAGGCTGAGGTGAGAGGATTGCCTGAGCCCAGGGGTTCAAGACCAGCCTGGGCAACTTTGTGAGACCTTGTTTCTACAATAAAAATCAAAAAAATTAGTTGGGTATGGTGGTGCACGCCTATAGTTCCAGCTACTTGGAAGACTGAGGCGGAGGATCACCTGAGTACAACAGGTCAAGTCTGCTGTGGCCATGAGCATGCCACTGCACTTTAGCCTGGGCAACACAGTGAAACTCTGACTAAAAACAAAAACAAAAAACTGCAAAGTTAAGAGGAAATGTTTCTCCCAAAGTAACACAGTACCTGTAAAGTCCCAGAAAGGCCCCCTCCTTGAGTGATGACTGCTTTTCTAGTGCTGATGCTTTCAGATTCACTTTGCTGTTTCCATCTTCTAATGGGATCATTAATTGCTAAACCACCCTTACCTCATTCAACTAATGGCTAACCCTGCTTCCCTTAGTCTTACTTCAAAGAGA